TTAATCTTTCATCTCGTTCACCATCATAATCAATGATTGGATACAAATGAAAAGGTTTGATAATGATTCTAATAGTTTAGTTAACTTGATTTTCATCATTGATGATCAGTTGATTGAGAACCATTAACTTTACTTTGTAAGGTGGAAGAGGAAAAGGTTGAGAGTGGGTTGTTGTTTTTTTCCACTACCTGATTGGTAAATATCCTTTTCTCATTACACATCATCCTCATCTTCTTAATTTTTCATCTTCATCTTCATCGTTTCACAATAGTAAGAGTTACATCAAGTAGCTATTCAATTGTCCTAAACCTGATCAATTTATCCAACCAATGATTCAGCATCTTTATCATCCTCATCTCTTTCATTATCGTTATCTTCATCTTCTTTGTCTCTCTCCATCTTTTTCTTTCTTCATCTTCTTCTTTCCTCTTCATTTTGAAACTTGCAGATTCCCATGGTTCTGAAAACATCTCATGAAATGATTCAGTGAATGACTCACAGTTGCCTGCCAATCAATAGAAACTATTGATTTTTTTCACTTCTCTTTTGTATCGAAATTAGATGAACGAAGATGAGGATAAGGATGATGATGAAAATAGAGGAAGAAAAATCTGAATTGTTCCAATATTCATCATTATCATTATCCTCTACCATCACCATGAAAAACTACTCATGAGGATGAAGGAGAAAAGTTTCCAAAATGTTGGAACATTTTTTTTTTCTCTCTCTCCTTGTATTAAATTAATGATAACACATTAATTTGAATACTGATGATGATTATAATGAGGATGATGATGGAGCCTGGATGGTAACTATTGATAAATTAATTGTTGATTAGTTTTTCTTATTGTGACACAGAAATTGAGAGAGAAACAATGTTCCAAGTATTAGAACTTTTTTTCCGCTGACCTTTTCTTCATCTCTGAGAATTCCTATTCATTTAGCAGAATCATTTATCTAACCAATAATAATAAATTGTTAGCATCATCATCTGTTTACCAATAAAAACTGATACCTTGATCTTAATTAGCTGAGGTAAAATAACAATTAAAAGTAATCACAATAAACGATAAATTCAAAGAAAGGAAGAGTGAGAGAGAGAGAGATTGAAAAAACTCTTAATCAATAAGAGGAAATCAAGTTAATCACAATCATAATGAATATTAATGATATCGCTGATTGAGAAACCATTGTTTAATCAATAATAATCAAGTTAATCACGATCATAATGATAATTTGCATAAATGAATTTGAGATTGAAAGTAAAAGAAGGAAATTTTTTATCTTTTTCTATGGTTTCTATTGATAATCATTGATCATCATGTTAATCATCTTGATATTACATCAAGATACAAAAATGGGATTAAAGTTTTAGGTACATAAAGATGATAACCGATGATGAAAAGGGAGAGGATGTAACATTCATGAAGATAATGGTGATCAGGATAAAAAATAGATAACTGAATGAAACTCTTGAGGTGAAAAATATTATCTCGTTGCAAGTTTCAGATGAAGAATAAGATGGAATAGAGAATATCTGATTCATTCTTTCATTTTCAGATTTCGAATACTGTTCTCGAGCTCTATTCTCGTCTATTCATCTTTCATCATCTTCTTCTCAAGCTTATCATTTATGCTTCATGATTCAACATGAATTTAACCTTCTCTCTCTCTCTCTCTCTTTGCATTGTACATTTTCCTATTTCATCAGAATCTGAATAATCTCCTTAATCTATCATCATTGTCATGAGTTTCGTGAGACTTATCTTCATGGGTCTCTTCCTTTCTCTCTCTCTCTTTCTTTCTTCCTTACTCTTTTCATGGAATCGACTTAGAAAGTTAGAAATTAACTTACTTAGGATTCTAGGAATATGTATATTTGTTCAGTGGTCGGTTCTGGGATTCCAAAGGTGAGATAAATTGCCAGGATATAAAATCGAATTGAACTTGAAATTGATTGGAATCCATGGGACTTCATTTACCTTTATATTCATAGTAAAAAAAAGTTCAGATTGATTCATGTTCATGAAATATATTCACAATTTCATCTTTTGAAATTGATTTCGTTAGATTCTAACATGCATATAATATATACACTTAAAGGAGACAGAATCAAAATTGTGTTCATTTATTATCATGGTAATAATAATAATAATCAGGTTATTGCATGAGAATCCATGATTCAGTTTTCTGCATAAGAAAATAAAGTTTCAGGTGAAACTCAGTTTCTCAGCTGAATCTCTCAAATCTCATGTAGTTTATCATTCATGTAATCATAAAATCCATGAAATATTTGCAATCCATGAATTTCAATTGACTTTCTTTTATCATGATTGAAATCAAATTATTTCATCAATCATTCATGATTAATATGAATTCACAATTAAATTGTACATTTTGTATTTTACAAACCAGAGGTAATCCTGAAAATCAACTAATCAATGAACTTTTTTCAACAACTATTAATTTATTTTTTGTCCTAACAACTGAGGAGCAATTAATTCATCTTGATTATCAGGTTAATCACTAGATTGTTGTTTATCGTGTTAAATTATTGACAATCTAATTAAATTAAAGGGTTAGCACCAGGAATTAGATTAAGGTTAATATTTAATGTTAATCGTTTTATGAACCGTTTTTTTTAATCAAATTTTATAATCTAATCATATTTTTGCCTCTCTCATTGTTCATAATCATGATAAATTGTTCAATAAATTCACTTTTGACATGATAGGGTGGGAGCATTGAAATGCTAAGGTGCAGGAGTGGGAGAGACAGAGGATAAAGATGAATGAGATTAATCACAAATTGTGAGTAGTTTTTTTTATCGTAACCGTTAATCAATCAGGTGAAACTGAAATTGTTACCTTGGTAAAAAATGCATGATAACATTTGTAATGATTAAGGGGAAACTTTTTCCTTCCCACTTGAAGCAATTAACACACTTAGTGATTAGTTGATTGTTGAACATGTTGGAATTGGAATCGTTTTATTGACATTTGTCAATCTGTTTCCATTCGGATAACATGATGATCATCATCAGATAAACTCACTCAGTAAAACAGGTAACACTAAATGCTAATAACATGTTTACTGAAAGAGGAAGAAAAAAGTTCTATCGTTGTATTTTTTTTCGTTAGAACTTTTTTTTTTGCTTTTCTTACACTTCGTCGAATTGAAAATCACTTACACACTAACACTTAATTCCTACACTCAACTCGATTTGTAATCATTTTGTTGTTTGTATTTCCAACCTTTCACTTTCATCTCTCTCTCTCTCTCTCTCTCTCTCTTATTATTATTATCATGGTGATGTTAGAAATTCATTTTCTCCATGTATTCTTATTACCCTGGGTTGGAACTTTTTGTTTCCAAAGGTTTTGTCTTTTTCTTTACATTTATATTCAAACATTTAACTTTTTGTTTGTTTCTTGTCATTTATTTTTCTTCTTCTTCTTTATTTATCATCTTCATTGTCAAAACAAAAGAAGATGCGGTGAGGTGGGTGGAGGATGAACGATATCATGTAGATGATGAAAATCTAAATTTAAAAAAAAAGTTCTAGTGTAAGTCTCATGTAAACAAAACTCGAACTTTATTTTTCTTTGAGATTCCGATTTCATCTTTTTCTCTTCCTGGTCAATAATATTAATAGATTAAGAGTTAACATTATTTACTTGATGAAAGAAAAAAGTTCCAACATATTTTTTTGTTCTTCGATTTCATTATTATTATTCGATCTTTTCTTTTTTTCAACCAGAATTTGGTGGAAAAAAAGAAGGATATTTACTTTCACTTAAAAGTGGAAGAAGAGAACAATTTGAAAGATTTTCCTTCTTGCAATCCGACATCGACTTCCGTTTCCACCTTGTGATCGATACCATGAATCGATATCATCTGATATCTTCATGAACTTTCATTTGAATCTGTTGAATGCTCAAAGTTTTTGCTTACAATTTTGTTTTACTAATATTACCACACTTCCTGTTATCTGATCATCTTCATATAAATTGATTATCATCATAACATGAACATGTTAATTGCTAAATAATTTACTGATTTTAATCATTAGCAAAATCATATAAATATAAATATTTTTACCTCCTTCCTATTTGTTATCTTTGTTGCCCTGAGGGCGATTCCATTTAATATTATCACAACGGTAATGATTTCTAACTCTTATTCATGATGATTGCAGGGGAAGAAAAGGAAAATAGTTTCAAAAGTAAATGTTGATTGAAGATGAGATGAAGTTGAAATAAATGAATTAAATTATTCAACAGAAAATGTTTCTGACATTGAGGTTGAATTTATCTCCCACCCTGAGTCACGAATGATTCAGATACAGATTGATTCAGATGAATATCAATGAAATGTTTCATTTGACAACAATCATGTTTATGTTTTGTATCTGATTCTCTCAATTTCTGAATCATAATCAATATGAAATAGTTTTCAATCCCAATCTTTTAATTTCGTTGCGACGACAATTTCAATGAGAAAAAAATGAATATTAGTAACCTTTCAAGACAGAACTTTATCCTTTTAGTGATCTGGATAATAATGATAAATATTCTAAGGAATTACATGAATTGTGAATTCTAAATATGATATTATCATGAGTATAACTAAATTATTATTATTTAGGAAAAGTTAAAGTTACGTCTCATTTTTTTTTCTTAACCATCACTTTGATTACCAAAAACATGATCAATGTTTCAAGTAATATTATTATTACAATTAACGAATGGAATTAAAGTTTGATACATAATATATCATCTTTATAATGATATTAGTTAATCATTCAGAACTTGTATGGATGCTCAGGGAATGCGATGAATATATGATAACCTGGTTTACTTTTTTTGTTTTCTCATTAAATTAACTTTAGATTAGATTAACGGTATGATAATCACAATTGATTGATCCACGAAACCAATGAATTAGTGAATTTAAATTAATACATGGAAAATTTTTCTTTCTCTCTCCTTTGTTTTTAGGTGAAAAAGGTGAAGCCATGATGATGAGTGTATCATGTAAGGATGACCAGGGTTCAGAAAAAGATGGTTCCAGTGGTAAGAATATGTATCTCTATGGTGAGGAGCCGAATGAAAGACCCGCCGTGTCAACTATTTTATCCAAATTGGCCAATTACAATTATCTGCCTTTACCCAGTAAGGAGGGAAGTGATCCCAATGAGCCTGGAAAAGAGGGCGGCGGCGGAGGTGGTGGGGCACAATTGGGAACCATAGCGGGTGTTTACCTTCCCTGTATACAGAATATTTTTGGTGTTATCCTTTTCATCCGAATGGTTTGGATTGTAGGTACCGCCGGTGTACCAGCGGCGTTTCTAATTGTTTTTATCTGTTGTTCTGTTACCTTTTGCACATCCATTTCCCTTTCCGCCATCGCAACCAATGGTATAGTTCCAGCGGGTGGGTCATATTTTATGATCTCAAGGGCACTTGGACCGGAATTTGGTGGAGCGGTGGGTGTACTTTTCTTCCTTGCCACCGGCGTTGCTGGTGCCATGTACATTACCGGAGCCATTGAGATTATATTGAAATATATTGCACCTGAATTTGCACTTTTCGGTGATCTCAATGAACAATCAATCCTCTATCATAATATACGATTCTATGGGACAATTATTTTAATCATCTCGGTGGGAATTGTTTTCATTGGGGTTAAATTTGTATCCAAGGTGGCTCCCTTTGCCCTGGCTATTTGCCTGTTGTCCATTTTTAGCATTTACTTTGGTGTCTTTATCAACTACAATGGGACACCCGACACATTTTGCATGGTGGGTGAAAGGATAATGTCAAATCAGGGTTACAAGAATTGCAATAAAAACTCATCCGATCCTGATTCCATTTGGCATGTTTTCTGTGTTTTCCATAATCAATCGGTAACCGAACCTGATCAGGTCAAAGTGGGACCGGGAAGGTATAATCGACGGATGGACATTCGCCTTCAACATAGAGCAGAAATTGATGGAACCATGATTGAACCTCATTGGGACTGTGATCCTTATTTCAAGAATCATGAGGTCTCATTGGCCAGGTCAGTTCCAGGTATCGCTTCAGGGGTAATCAAGCAAAATCTTAAGGTTAGATTCCGTGAGAAAGGTGATGTAGTCACTCTCGATGAAGATGGTAAGTTCATTATCACTTATTATTATCTATCAATCTATCATCTTATCATCATCATCACCCTCATGGATCTTCATCAGTCTCATTACTCTTCTTCAATGTCAAACTTATCTTCATCTTTTTTTCTTAATCTTCATTTCCCTTTTCTTTATGTCACATACACACCATATTATCCAAACCATCTCATGATTATCATGAAATTTTCTTCATTTTTCTCTCCATCAATGATGATAAACTTTGTACTATTCTTTCTTAATACTTTTGTCAAACTTTCTCTCTTTCTCTATCTATCTATCTATCTATCTCTCTCTCTCATTTAATCATCTTATTCATCATTATAAACCTCATCATTTGCTATCTTCTCCGTGAGACTTTAACCAAACTCTGATTCGTCAAATCAGATTATCATGATCGTTATAGATAATAAAAAATTAGGAGTAAAAAGTTCATTCTAGTCAAAGTTGTGAATTTACAGTTATCATGATGATTAGTTGTACTAAATTCTCAACTTTATCTTCAACCAATTGAGATAAATATTAAATTGGTGAGCATTTGAATTGTTGACATGAACATGAACTTACAATTTACTTGAATCTCTTATGAATCATAATCTGAGTTCAATCTGTAAATTTAAATGAGTGGATAATAATAGTAGCCAATGGGAGTTAATATAATTTGTTACATAAAAGTGATTACCATGATAAATATAATCCATGGTAATTTTAAATTCCATCATATGTTGAATCAAAGGGATAAATTTCAATGGCTCCAAGTATCATTCAGAATATTTAATGAGCACTTAGCTCAGTCACAGGGAAACGATATCTTCATGGAAAAAACTTATATTAATATTTTCACAATGATGAAGATAATCATTACCATACAGAATTGAAGGATGATGATGATGATGAGAGAGAGAAAAGAGTGAAAGTTATGCCAAGAATGACCTCATGAGAATCCAGTTTTCTATTAATATGAAGATAGAAAACCAACATCACTTTTTCATCATCATGGTGATGATGATGATGTCAATATTATGCTGAATATCATCATGATCATCATCATATTTTTGCATTTTTCTGCTTCTTTTCATTATCTTTTTGTCAATAGATTCTGATTCTGATTCTGATGATAAGCAAACAAATCTAATCTTTTTTATCATTATGATCGTTATCAAGGGTTGGTAATAGTAATGATGATGAAGATGAGAATGAGAATGAAGATGATAAATGTAATATATAAGATGTAATGAGCACTTGAAATAGTTCATGATTCTGATTCTTTCAAGAGTTTGTTGTTATATCTACAGAATGGGATAGAAGATAAAAAGGAAGAGAAAAAAAATTCATTCTCTTGAAGAGTATAAGAAGATGAGGAGAAAAAAAACTTAAGTCAATTATCATTTCGTTTCAATAGAATCACAAGAATGTTTAGAATTACAATTCAAATAAGAATAATGATATTATCATGAAATGATGATGATAATCATGTTAATGATGAAGAAAAATCGAATAATCTTTTTGCAAATTCTGTGATTCAATTTCATGACTGAAATTTTCATTTTTCAAATGAAAACTTGACCATAAAAAAGTCAATACAATATAATGGTAATCATCATAATCAGCTCAATTTCAGGCACCATGATGATGAAACTTTTGTGCATGATAATGAGTTGAAAGATTACTAATCTGATAATAATAATGATCTGGAAACAAAATTCAGAAAAGAGGAAAACGATTTCTTATGAAATAGAGAGTGAAAGAGAGAGAGAGAGAGAGAGTCCTCAACTCGAATCTGGAAGAAGATTTATTCTAATATAATATTATCGATTTTCCACCTTCCACCCTACTCCTCCTACTTATCTACCCCTATTCTTTTCTCTCTCTCTCTCTCTTTCCTTCTTTTGTCTTCATCCTCATCTTTGCTCCTCTGAATTTGGAATCTGAATCACTGGTGGAAACTTTCAATTTGTTGGTGAAGAAAAAAGTTCTTAACAAAATTTTACATTCGCAACATGAATTGAAACACAAAACTGATTTAAATTGTTAACCAAACGATTGATTTTACCTCCATGAATAAGAAGTAATATTATCATGATTATTACCCCCGAAATAGGTAAAAATTCAATGAGTTTCAGATTCATAGTTACGATATTTTTTTCTTCATGATTCTGATTCAACCTGAAAATGCTTATCTTTTCATATTCGTACATTTCTTTTGAACCAATAATTTTTTTTTTGAATTCACTATTATCATTTTATCCTCTAGCATCATCATCATCATCTCTACTGTTATTGAGGAGATGATGATGATTATCATAATGTTCAAAATGTAGAGAATTTTTTCTCTGTTTTCTTCACCTCGTTTTCATAATTCTAACAAACAATTCACTTCCATTCAATTGGCCAATTGAATGAGAACGAGAAACTTTTGCCAATCACACAATTTATAGCTCTGAATAGTTATCGTTATCGTTATCATCTTCATCGGAATTGAATTTACCAACGTGATTATTTACACTCAACTTTTACCCGAGAGCATTTTTATCAGCATGATCAATACACAGGGAGAGAGAGAGACTCATCCTAGTAGGTATATAAGACAAAGATCCTTTGTTTCTGATTCTTAGTTCTCATGTAACCCTGGAAAATTTTCTTTCTCAGATCATAATTCATCTGATTTCATCATCTTCATGAGAATAAGAATTGTAGGTAAAACTTTTCATCTCTTTTCTTTCAAATCGAAAATAAATTTGGAAAAGTTTCTCCTTTTTTATTTCTTCTTTTCTGTTTACTTTCAATTCCAATTTGAAGACATAATTGAATTTAAATCACCGACAGGAACTAAATCAACATCATCAAAGTTTTCCATCTCAACTATATAATATAAATAGTAATCATCAAGACTTTATGATAAATCAATTAATTTTAACAATCATTAAGTCAATGAACTAGAATCGCCAAATTTATGATCATCTTTTCCCCTCAGCATTATAATTACTTTCATCTTCATTCATGGTGATATTTATCTCAATGTGAGTGACAAAATGATCAGGGTAACATGAAAATCAAATCAAACTGAAAGCTTAATGATCAACCACTCATCAGTAATGATTAGCTAAATCTTGACAATATTTTCAACCTCAATTTTGACAACAAGTAACCATGGATTCCAAGATTCTGTCAGCATCCTCATTACCAATGAAGATACTTTTTCATTACCTTTTCTTTTTTTTTCTGTACAACTATAATTATGTTTCATTCATGAAAATATAAAAGTAACAATTAAATACAATCGGGTTAAGGTTATACATACTCCACGCAACACTCGGCACGAAATTTCGTGAACGATTTGAAAAGACCATTGAATATCCTCAGAATTAGGAAGAAGCTTCTTCTAGAAGAAAATTTATCGATTCGGGTTTCGTGTCAAGGTGCTTATTCAATGAGAATTTTGAGAAAACTTTCGAGAGCTGAATTCATTTCCTGGTTATTTCCTGTTCTACTCATCAGAGCTTATCAACACTAGAATTACAAAATCTATTTTATGCTAATCAAACTTTCCAAACTTTCACCATTTTCATGGAGGTTAAAAAAGCATCACTCTAATCCGAGCAACTGAAAAGTGAATCTCATAAATGGAGACTTTTTTTGTTATTGCTTCCCTTGTCTCCAAACTCGGATATTTGTTTCTCATTTTGAATAATTTCCAGGAAATTTCAAGGTATAAAATCTTGAACATATAATCTGAATACTCATCTGAATGTCTGACGTTCATTTAAAAGTAATATCACTTATATTTAAGAATCGAAAAGGGCTTGATAGAGTTTGAAAGAATCTTTTCTTTTTCCTATCGAATTACATGTATATTATTGATTTATTATTCTTTATTCAGATTCCATGATAAACTTATCTTTCTTTGTCCATTCTAAAATCTCTTAGATCAATATTAACGATGTAACAATCATCCATTAGGCGATCCACTTGTTAGTTATGTTAAAGGTTAAGGGAAAGTTTGAAATTCTCAGAGTTATCATCAAGTTCAACTGAATTTCAATTTTCCCTCATGAGAAATATCAACTAATAGGTAATATTTTTATAAGAATTTGATAAACTTTCTGTTAGAACTTTTTCCCAACCCCTTCTCAACCCACATCCAGTAAACTAAATAGTTTAGTAATATTATCAAATAGAAAATATTATTTTCTTTTCCAATTCTTTTCTCTTATTTTCTGATGAAAATTGTTCATGACGGTTTTTCATGATAAGTTTCAAGTTTATCAATTTTTCCAATGAAAATATCAAATCAAATTATAGTGCTGATCAGCTTTATGGTTATTAAATTGATTAACAACAAGTTAAAAGTGGTAGAGTTGATATGAGATATCAACATATAATAATTGAATTAGATCAAGAATGATTATCAACAAATCACCATGAAAAACTGAATCATGATTATCATGACCTATTAAGCCTCTCTGAGGGTAAATTGTTGAATTGAGTTGAAACAATTGAACCAAATTGTTCATTGTGAAGAAAAGTATTTAATTCAATTGATAACAATTTATAAACCCTTTTCAAAGTTACAACATGATAATAATATCATCTCATCATTAACAACAATTGATTAACTGTTATCAATACTGATTGATTGTAGTTTAATATTCATGATAATCATCATCAATTTTATATCAATCAATTGCTGATGAAACTTGAAATGATCATGAAAACTGAAATAAATTCATGGTCTGAATTTGATTATAGTTTAATCATTTGAATCTCACTTTTTCTTCAGGTAATCAATCAGTGATTTAAATTGAATGTCATTTAGATGTTAATTATTTAGTCAATCATGTTTACATCAATTTTTTGCATCATCTTCATGAGGATGACGATGATTATCATCCAATCAGTTTGATAGAATTGATTTCTCTCTATTTGGATTTAAATTGAAGGATTTTCTCTATGAAAATCAAGTTACATGGGAAATTCATTGAACCATCAATTCAATTTTTGAATCAATCTGATAGTTTACTGATTTATGCACGATTATGATTAACTTGTTTTCCTATTTAAACATTTTCGATCCGATCAAAATCAGTTGGATTTGAGTGAAAAAATAACAGTTAATACAAATTAACTTGAAACAGAAAATTAATTCCCCAATCGAGCAATTAATTAGCATTTGATTGATTTTGATATTATGACTTATGATCATAATGATTACATGACACATCAACAGTTAATTGTCATAAAGTTATGGGTTTACGGTTGTGCTTTTTTTTGATTATTTCGTTAATCAATGAATTAAGACTTATCATCTAGAAGGGATAAAAGTAATTAATTACTGTCTCATTCAATTACTATTATTATCTGGCAAACAATTTACCTTCAAGGTGTTAACGTAAATTAATTGGCTTCCTTATCTGGTTATCTAATTGTGTTCACTGTCACTGGTTAAATTTAATTGTAACAGATTGTTTCAGATTTACTACTGTATTTTAGTCCTGAAATGATTACTTTTTATTAATTGTTACAATTGATGACTGATTGTAATTGAATTAGTTTCAGTTTTGTGATGTGTATAAGTTATATGAAATATTACACATGAATCAAATTAATTGTTGTGGTTTTGATAATGCGATTGGTTATTCATATGTGTATATTATTCAATTTTGGGTTAAATTGTCTCCAATTGCTAATTCAATTATTAATAAAACTGGTCGCCAATTTACATTTCCTAATGTTCAACTATAAATCAGATTTCGCTACCGATCATTTGAACGGTAATAATTGTAATCTATTATCAATCATCTTAAACCACCGACAATTTAATCATAAATCATCAGACAGATTGTAGTATTTACTTACAGTACCACGATACCACAATTATATGTAAACGTTGATTAATTTTTCGTCTAACCCACAATTAAATCATTAATCAATTGATGATTAATTTTAAATGAGACTCTAAATAGCTGCCAAAAACCAATTGACCAATAAAAGTGCCCTTTAAATATGGTCAACGTGTTAAACTATATTTAGAAATAATTTATTGATTGGTGACAAGTTAAATCTAATTATTAGATTTGTAAAGGTCAACAATCAATCAGAATCAATAACTATCAAAATGAGGATAAAAAACTTGTGATGATGATCATGATGATTAAGATAACCATCGATACTGAATTACATCAATAATTAATTGTTTCAATTTTCTCCTCATAATTAGCTCGTTATCTACCTGACCTGCCACCTTATTCAAATGTATTCGTGGACCTTACAACTTCATTCACCTTTTTCGTCGCTGTTTACTTTCCCTCGTGTACGGGAATTCTGGCCGGTTCAAATCGCTCTGGTGACCTGAAGGACGGTCAAAAATCGATACCAGTGGGAACCATAGCTGCTCAACTGACCACCTCGTTTGTTTACCTTTCCTCGGTTATCCTGTTTGGAGCCTGTTTCAATAATCTTTTCATCCGTGACAAATTTGGAGCCTGTGCTGGTGGTCAACTAGCGGTCACTTTGGTAGCCTGGCCTTATCCCAAGCTAATCGTTTTCGGTGCCCTTTTCTCAACCCTCGGGGCAGCTCTTCAATCATTAACTTCAGCACCTCGTCTAGTACAAGCCATTGCACATGATGGTATCATTCCGTTTCTCAATAAGTTTGCCGTCATCGATTCACGCGGTGAACCAGTCAGAGCCCTCGCACTGACCACGGTCATCGCTTGGGCCGCTCTACTCATCGGTAACCTCGACTTTATTGCACCCATATTAACAATGTTTTTCCTAATGTGTTATATGTTTGTTAACCTCGCCTGTACACTTCAATCATTACTTAAAACACCAAATTGGAGGCCAAGGTTCAAATATTATCATTGGTAAGTTTCCACCCTCCCAATTCACTCCCAGCGACTCCTCTTCCCTTCCCTCTATTAAACTCTCAATAATCATCATCAGATTATCACCATGATTAATTATTTAACATCTAATCAAATTTTATGAAATTAGAATCAAGAAAAGTTAAACTTTCTGAGACGAAAAAAAAAGTAAAGAGAACTAATCTCTTTGACTTATTAGGCTTATTTTGTCATCTTAACGTGATGATAAGATTAGAACAAATTGATTGTAAGTTTTTCTCATCATCCAAATTTTTAGTTAGAACTTTAAAGTTTTTTTATTCTTTTCGAGTTCGAGAAATTTTCTTCTCTCTCAACATTAACTACATTTTAAAACTTAGTCTTTTTCCCCTTCTCATTATGGTAAAAGCAAAAGAACTTTTTTTTCCTTTTATCCAATGTTGTTATTTCATCTTTTTCATCTACTTGGTTTTTTTACTTCATTTTTTTCTTTTACTCTGATGCTACCATTTTGTTTTCAAATAACTACAAAGGCAAAGTAATTTGTCAATGTTTTCATAATCTTTTCTCCCTCTCTCACTCTCCTTCCAGTGTTTTTACATGAGTACTACTTATAAATATTAGATTTTAGATGAAAACTCACAAATTTTGAATGATATTATTACATCTTGTCTAATATTATAACTGTATCATTATTATTATCAACAACATGAAACACAAAATTGTAACATTTTCAATTTCGATAATCAAGATAATCACAATGTTTAGAAAAAATAAAATATAATAATCATCATGATAATGATTAAAGATAGAAGGGAGAGTGAGAGAAAAGTAAGTTATTCTAAAGGTAGATGTTATTTTCTCGGATAATAATATCATCGAGTCTAGATGTTATTATCTATCGTAAATTGATTCGTAAACAATGAGAAACAATTTATGCAACAATAACAATCTGAATGATATTCATGATGATGATGATAACAATGATACTGATAATCTGAAAACATGTTATGATTATGTTTCATGATTAGGATCATTGAATAAAAGTAATTTACTTTTTTCCCCAGTTACTTTAATGTCTCTCCTGTGGTGTCTTTCTTGTTATTTACCTCTTTCCCTTGGAATCATGATTTGATTTGATTGTTATTCCTTGATATCTCTCGATCTGTTGATTGTTTGGTAAATTGATTTCTTATAAATACAATTTCTTGTTCTTAGGTCTTTATCAATGACAGGGGTATTCCTTTGTCTATTTGTTATGTTCATTTCTTCATGGTACTATGCGTTAGCAGCAATAATTATCGCCGGTTGTATATATAAATATATTGAATATCGTGGGGCTGAAAAGGAGTGGGGTGATGGTTTCCGTGGGTTGGCACTTTCAGCGGCTCGATATTCATTATTAAGATTAGAAGATGCTCCTCCTCATACTAAAAATTGGCGACCACAGATAATGGTTTTCCTTAAATTATCCCATAATGATGATTTGGCCATCAAACGACGTAACTTGTTAACCTTTGTGGCTCAACTAAAGGCGGGAAAAGGTCTCACTTTGGTCTGTTCTTGTATAGAGGGAAGTACAAATTCAATTGAAGCTCAGGCCAGAGCATCGGCTGCCAAACAGACCATTGTAAAAGCGATGCACGATGAGAAAGTTAAAGGATTTGTCAATATACTAATTACAAATAGCGTTGTTGATGGTTTATCATATTATATCCAATCAGCTGGATTAGGTGAGTAAATCATTTATCCATTAACTTGATTTAAGATGATCATTCCATTGGGTAACCTTAATGTGATTAGAAGAAAAAAAAATATAAGATTTTCATGGTTAATTCATATTTGATTGTTTGGTAAATTTTTTCTCTTCGTTAATTTGTTAAAGTTTTTAATGGTTAAAGTTGATTACTTTGACTTCTAGTTGGTAAAGTAATTAATTAATCGTAAATTGATTAGAGATTAATTAGTTAAGTGTTAGCATCTCTTTTTTAATTTTCCTTGACTAAAGTTTTATTTATCTTAATACTTTCAGGTTTTATATTGAAGCTGAGTAATTTGTTAATTGTGATGATAATTAGTAAATTATTATCAAAATGGCTATACGATATTAAGGAGAGAACGTAATTTAATTGATTACAATTTGAATCAAGAAAAAAGGATGGATTTTACTTTCTATTGATTTTCAAACAATTAATGTTAATTTTTCAATAACTAATTAAGTTAAAGATGTTGATTATACTTTTTTTCTCATTCTAAATGCAATTAAATTGCTTTCTAATTAGTGTCTTTTTGTGTCAAGACCTAATTTTTGGTAAATTATTGCTACTTGTTTTATTATTAATTGTTAGGCTTGAGTGTTATTATTATTTAATGATAAGTTTACTTGCTGGGAGTAAAAAAGTGTTTACCTTAATTTGGTAAACATAAACAAATAATAATTTAAATGTACGAATTCAATTATTTACAATTAACTTTTTTTTTAAACATTTGATTATGCTTAACATTTCAAATTACAGAATCAGGATGTTTAATCCAATTGGGAATCATAACTGAAGTAGATTCAAGCAGTTTTAATTTGAGTATCATTGATATTTACAATTGAATCAACATAATGAATGAAACTGAATTTAAAATGATGTAAAAAAAAGGTAATCAACAATTGAAAGTAAATGATCAGGATTGATATACTTTTCTATCTATGTAATTAAGTCTGGTGATGAAAGAGAGTTAATTATGATCACAGTGATTTTCAGATTAATTGATTAGAGGTGAAGTTGGTGAAATTAACCTGAGGGTTAGAGTTCAATATTGTTCATGTCGATGTGTGTACTTACAAATGTTATTGTTGTTTGTTATTGGATGTTGATTGTAACCATTGTTTGGAATCACTTTTGATCGATTGATTAGATTATATTAATATTATGAGATGTTAACATTTTAGATGCTCTATGGTTAATCATCATTATCATTCATCATCATCATCATCTGTTTTCTATTCTATTTTATTGCTACATTCTTTCTCTTAGGGTTACTTTTCCTAATTATTGTTAAAGCAAATTGACAAACCCATGTATCAACTTTAATTAGGATCAAATCTGATGAACAGTAATTTATATATGGGTTGATACACAGAAGAGAAAAGGATAGAGAAATAAACAAAGATGCTATTAGAAGAAGCTTTTTCCCCACTTTTACTGTAACTCTGGTCTTACATCTTCCCTTTATTTCACTTTCATTTTTCATTCTCTTTTTTTCGTTATTTCAAACTCTATTGAGATGAATATTTTTCTTATTACTCAAGGTAATAAAATAACAAATTATGATGATGATTATTTTCAATCATAACCAACATATAAGACTCATCATCTTTGAAAAAAGAGAACAGGGTAAACTTTTACAGAGAGGATATAAAGGTAATGACGAAAAAGATGGCGATGATAATGGTGATGAAGATGAAGATGATCAAGAGGGAGAGAAAAAAGAGCAATAAAACATCATTTATCAATTTTTACTCTTACCTTTTATCCCATAGATGTAATGATTTTAATGGAAAAGTAACATCTCTAAAGAACAAGGAAAAAAATGTCACATCAATAAACTGATCAATTTGAATTTGTCAGAAGTTGTTGATAGTTAAACTAAAATTTTCTAACTTCAAATTCACTGGTACAGGGTAAAGATGAAAAGTTGACCATGTAAGAGAATAAAAAATAACACTAATTAAATGGAAATTAATTAAAGTGTAAACAATCAACATGATTTGAAACAGAAGAGAAAATTAATCAGACAAAAAAAACGAAAATTAAAAATTCTTTTCAATGGACCAATAGAAAACAAGAGAAAACCAGAAAAGGAGGGAAATAGAAACAAAGATTTTAATCACAAAGTTGCGATTTATTTTCTTCTTAATAATTAATTGATTGTCCAAAGTGTTTTTCTCTTAATTTTATTAAGTTAATTCTCTCTAATTCTACGATTAAATGAACGGATTAAATTGTTCTTTCTTTTATAAGAAAAGGTGTTGGCTTTTGAAGGTTAATCCAAAATGTGAATGGTCAGATTATTGGGTTTGTTTTGGTGTCAGTTGATTAATTGGTTTGTTTATTTAATTTTCTTTTTCTTTTTGTTCTATTTTCTCTTTTAATTAGGTGGATTGAAACATAATACAATTCTTCTTGGATGGCCTCATGGTTGGAGACAATCAATGAATACTAGTAAAGTGGATATTTTCCTGCAAACGATTAAAAATGTTACTGCCTCTAAAAATGCTTTGTTGGTTCCCAAGGGCGTTGACCAGTGGCCTGAGACGTCGACATCTCCAGGATTAACTGGTTTTATTGATGTTTGGTGGATTGTCCATGATGGTGGAATGCTCATGTTACTTCCCTTTCTATTGAAACAGCACAAAGTTTGGAAAAATTGTAAACTACGGGTATTCACGGTCGCTCAACTTCAAGATAATTCAATTCAAATGAAGAAAGACCTGAAAGCCTGGTTATATGCAATCAGAATTGAAGCTTCCGTTGAGGTGATTGAATTTAATGATTCCGATATATCACAATACACCTATGAGAGAACCCTTAGAATGGAACAACGAACCGAAATGTTGAGACAAATGGCTAAAGCCGCTGCTGAGGCTAATTCAGGTTCTTCGGGTGGTGTTTCAAGTGGAACGGTGGCCAAAGCGGTTCGTTTTGCCACTAGACGTAAATCATCAACAACCTCTAATCCAAACTCCGATCCGTCTTCCCCACCCTCTTCTGGACCCACTGCCACGGTTGTTGACATAATACCCTCACAACCAGTTTTTACCGTTTCTCAGGCCACACCACCAAGTTCACCTGAAAGAAAACACAAAAATATATTGGATAATGTGCCAAATCAAGATGAAAATGCTCCTCAACCCTCTACACACCCTCCCTTGGAAACTAATAAACTTCTCAACCTTAAACCGTAAGTACAACATTCAAATCCTCTTTCCTTTTAGTGTGTCTATATCGTTGAACAGAATCTACGTTGATTATGATATTCATGTGATTGAAATTTAATTATATTCATATATAATCAACCCTTTCTCAGTCTTCATTGCCTTATATTAGATAGTAATACAAATGATTGATTATTTACCATGATGATAACCTTTTCCCATGAGCCAAGAGGCTTCTCAGCTACTCTTAACAATTTACAGTTAGGAGATAACCTTTTTTTGAATTTGTAACTTGATTTATTGAAATGAAGCTAAATTGCTTAGTGAACAACAAAATTACATAATGATACAAAAGATAAACTAGTAAATCATCTCGAGTTTTTCTCTTATTTAAAATGGAAAAAGGTGAAAAAAGCCTTCACACTTTACAGATAATAACAATGGAACGAGCAACGAACAAAAAAAATTCGAACTTTTTTGTTCTTTTTCGACGAAAATTACCTTTAATCAGTAGTGTAGTACAAGGAATGATAACAATATATTTATACTATAAATCGAGAAAGAAAAGAGAATAAAATTTAAATGTAACAATCATTAATTATCATGTGAACTGAAGACAATCAATTGATGTATACGAAACAATTAACTCTTTTGAAGATGAATTAGTAGATTAACCAAACAAAGTAGAATAATGAAATAATTTGAAACGATCAGTTAATCAGTTATAATAAAGTCTAAACGATTTAGTATTTTTAAAGTGGATTAAATTCACAGAAAAATAATAATATAAAAAAAAACTATAAGTTAATCTTTCAGAGTTTACAATGAGCAAGAAAAAACTGAATCAATTTGTAATAGAGATTAAATTAAATCAGTTTGATAGTTAAATTTGATTTAAACTGATTACAAAATACATTTTTCAATTGAATCTGCGAAAAGTACAAAATGTCAATCAATTTGATTATAATACATCAAAATTATAATCAATGTCTAGATTTACAATTATTGTTTGGGAATCACTATTAATCTATTAATATAACGAAGGTTAATATTGATACGATAAGTAAATATTATAACAATGATACAAAAATAACAATAAATGGTTCAAGTACAATCAATAACAATACAATTAATAATAGAAAAGATTTTGTGTCAACTAATGATCGTGAACAATTATAAGTAAATTCCTAGGGATTCCTGGGATTGGTAAATTAATATTATCATTTCCAGAGTTAATTATTTTCTCCCATACTTTCTTAATCCATATTATTAGTAATTTATTTAATCAGGTGATACCGAAGATAATTGTTCTTGTTGGAGAATTGTGTTAATCACATTTAACAACATTTAACATGAATCAGGTTCATCACTATGGCGAAGATGATGTTAGTCAATTATACATATTTTTCGATGTTTTTTTCGTCTCCTTTGTCATTTTACTCGACAGTCCTCAACAGAATATATTGCATCATGAAACATGAGAGGATTATTTTATTAACTTTCCATTGGTTGACAGATGCGAAAAAAAGATGATACTAAAGATTATATGATGAAGTTTTATATTGAAAGTGTATACGGAAAGTGTGTAAAGGAATCAAGTTAATGATACTGAAAGTGGCAAGAAAAGAGATCAAATGATTAGATGAATAAGGGATCACACCTGAATTGAACCTTTGCTTTGGTTTTCGAACATGAATTTCATTCATTATCACGCAATAGACCAATAATTAGCCTGGTAGAATTTCCAATTTTTATATAGCGAATCCAATATTTTCCGAATTTCTCACGAAAAAGTTAAACACGCAAAAGTACATTGTTGGTTTTGTTGTTGAGATAATTGTGGATGCCGGTGATGATTAGGATGATAATCATCTAAGAATTAACTTGGATTATGATTTTTTGATGTTCAAATGGTGATTCAAGCACAAGAAATTATCATGAAAATCATCTCAAAGATTCATGAAATAGATATGGGATAATTTTTCTCTACGATGATTCAGGTTTAACATTTGATCGTAATTACAATAATTATCATGATAATGGAGATCAAGATAATAACTATCATTATCACAATAAGATTTTCATTCATATTTATATAAGATGATCAGATGCTTGACCTTTAAATGAATGAGAAAATGTCCAGAGATGTTTGTAAAAGGTGAGATTGTTAGGTCATGATAGCCATTCCTTAGCATTGGTCACTTTTCCTTCTTTCTTCATGATCCAATAAAGATGATAATTTCGCCAAATTGTCAATGATCATGATAATAATCGTATTGATTTTTTATTGTTGTTTATATGAATTCATGAAAAGTATCTTCTTTTTTCGTCTGACTTTCAACTCGTTGATTTAGTTGAGCCTTTCAATTCATAATATTACCATTATTATGGTGATGATCATGATGATTGGTATTTCAGTGGAGATGATATTTCAGCTTTAAGTGTTACACATTCAGTGTTTATATCCCATGAATATTGGTTGTGATGAGCAAAATCCTTTTCCAATCTATTGGGAGTTTGTTTAAATGTTGTGCTAACTTTTTCAATGATATTTTTGGTAATGATGGTGATGATGATGATGGAATCAACATTTACCATGAGATATATCGTTTGAATGCTTGTTATGATAACAGCATAAAAAAAACTGTCATGATAGTTTATGTCTTTGTCTATGACAATTTGTGAACAGTATTTTCTTTTTTCTTACTGTTTCGAAACTGTTCAAGTTTCTTTTCTCCTGAAAATGGTAACAAATCACATCACTTTTCATCTTCTTTTGGTAAAATTGTTGGATTTTCTTTACAATGATATGGAACTTGTCTTCCTTTTTAGTGGGTCAATTTGTTGTTTCCAGTGGGAGTTAAAAATGCTATTTAGTATAACGACTTCGTAACCCAATGAATCTCTTTCTTCCTTTTCCTTTTTGATTCTTTATCGAACTGAATCATTTTCTCTCTTTAATCTTCATCTCTCTTTATCTTTCACCAATCTGAAGTAATTTAAGAGAATGAGCATGAAATCTGTTGACCTCAAACAGGACATCATTTTGATCAGAACTTAATCAGCCATTTAAAATATTATCTAATTCCGATTGTCCAACATTATCATCATCTAAATAATACAAAATAACAAATAAAATCAAATAGACTACATTACATTGAAGAGATCTTGAAATAAAATAACTAGAATCGATCCATTGATTGGTTCAATTGTGTTGATGTGAGAAAAATTAAAAACTTACTCAAGTGACGAAAAATTGACTGAGTTAATTTTTGAAACATTGATTAGCATAAATTAACGATTGAACAAGTATTGTTGTCATTAGAGTTAGATATACGTTAATTATAAATACTACGTGTCCAGTGTTGTAATAGTGACCACAAAGTTGTCGTGATGAACGTTTGTGTGATCAAAGTATCAGAAATTAATGTTGATTAGATCAAATTGGAGTAATTTAATTTCCAGGGAAATAAAAAATTATCTAGAAAACAAAAGAGAAAAATAATCAGGAATTAAATTAATACATAGATTAGAGTATACAACAATTAAGATGTCAAAAAAAAGCAACCTAAATGATTTATTTAATTACGTTTTTAGTAAATTATTTCAATTAAGTTTGAATAATTCATGTCAAGTGAAAATTGTTTCTCAGTATCATGCTTACCCTTTGTACCATTATTATTAAATTGTGATTGTAATTTGTTTTGACATAAGATTGATGAATGAAAAATATTAAATTAAGTTTACGATTGAGATTATGATTTAACTTTTGACCATTAGAATCCATGGAGAAACGACCACCGGTCACTTTTACCAATAACAATCCATTAGGATAACAGAATGAGAGAGCCACGGGTGATTCCTGAAATAGATGAAATAAAACAACATGAAATGAAAAGAGATCAAATATAATTCTCATTGGTGACTCTAATTGGATCACAATCAAGAGAAAGAGAGAAATTCAAAAGGTGATCCTATTGATGGTTAAGAAACAATAAAATAAATAAATAAGACAAAGTGAGTGAAAGAGAAGATAGAGAGATGATCAGGAGAAAATTGTTTGAGAGAGAAAGAGAGAGAGAGATAAATCTTTGTTCTACCAATGGGATTATCTTTAAATAAGATGATGAGAGTAATGAAGATGAAGATAAAAATGATGAGAATAACCTTTCATACCCTTCTAAAAGTTGTATCATAATGAATATTGTTACGTTTCTCTTTCTCCTGGAAATATATTCGCTTCAAGGTCAATTTCACAATGAGAAACATTAAATTTCCAATGGATGCTGAGACAGTAGAAGATGAGAGAACATCTTACAATTGTATTAAGTCTACTCATTTACTGTATCACTTTCGTTTTTCGTTAGAATTCTTGTCTCTTCTTCGTCTATTATTTTACTCTCTCATTATTTATCCACCTTACATTAATTCTTCTCCTCTGAAACTTCTTCTGGTCTTTATGTTTCTCTTATTTCTCTATCAAAAGTCCAAGAATTGCTGGTGTTTCTCCGAGTGATACTCCACAAAACATCATATAAATGTATTCGATTTTTTTCACAGTATATTCTTCATCTTGTCTTGAATACCAACATTTTTCTCTCTCTATGCGCATCCAGGACCAGAAATAATTCTCCTTTGCTTTTTATCCTCCTTGGTTCCTCTTCTCACTCCGATGGTTGTTATAATAACAATGATAATAACATGGTATTCCTACTTGGTCTCCATCTTTTTTCTTTAGAAAAAGATATTGTTCATCTTTTCTCGTCTTCCTTCGTCATCATCTTTCTCTTAACTTTGTGGTCTTATTTGCTCTACACTTTCTTTTCTTTCAGCATTCACGTCCAAAAATTTTATTTATCCTCCGATTGAGTTTTCATGCTGTTAATCCAATAGGAGAGAAAGAGAGAAAGAAAGAAAGAGAGAAAAACAGTTATATCATTTCAATCGATAAGGTTATACCCCATTCTTGTATATCCGTGTATCCCATTGATAATCAGGAATAGTATTGGTAAAAACTCAACTCTTATGTTACACTTTGGTAGCTTAACCCAAAAGTTGTCAGTAAATGTTGTAGTTTTCAGTTACTCCAATTTATACTTTGGTTTTTCCTTCTTTCTGGTTTCTATTTCTTCATCTTCTCTCAAATCAGCAATCATTACACAAATGTTTCAAATCTTTAGGTTACTGGAAAGCTTTTCATGAAATGTTTCATTAACTTCCGATTAGGTTAATGTTACTGTGACATTGAGTATGTGTAACCAATACCATTATTTGAACATGAGAGATTTTCCATCTTCTATTTTCAACAGGAGCAAAAGTATATTCATGGTAAAGATAAGGCATGAATTTCAGTCTTAAGATGAAAGGAAAGAAAAGAAAAAGATTATCATTCTTGATGATAAGAAATGAATGTCATCTACGATTTAAAGGAAATTGAGTTTACTTACATGCTTGTTGATTGGTAATTTGCATAATGATTATAATCGTGCATAGATCAGTTATTTCATCTATTATTTCCCTTTGCCATAATACAAGAGACAAAAATAGTAAGCAGATATCAAATACCTTTTTTTGTTGTTGTGACTATTGATCCAAATACTTGTTATGTTTATTATCACCATCATCTTGGTCTCTTTGAGCCAAATCACCCAACCTGAGTTACATGAATGAAGTAAAGGACAGAGGGAGGAAGTGAAATGGAGTAGAAAGTGAAAGAAGATGAAAAAAATAGAAGACAAAGAAAAATTATTACTCCTCTGATCTTAACAATGGATAAATGATAGCAAAGTCCAATATTAATAGATTGATGCTCATATAATGTCTTTAGGAATCGTTTTTACTGGTTTATCATCGAGTTTTTTTTCGAGCATCCAGTTTCTTTTTTCTTCTAGTTTTTTGTTCTGCCTTTTCTTTTTTCTACAGATTTTTTTCTCTTCCTTTAATGTAGACTCTTCTGGAATTGTATAACGATGTTGAAGTGACCAGTGTATTGGATTTTGCCTGTAACATAAAAAAGGTGCAAAGGTTAGAACAGTATTAAAAATGAATAAGTTTCAAGTAGATAAAGAAAGTTCGAGATAAAAAACTATGTTCAAAGAGAAACAACAACAACAACGATCTAAGAACATGGATTCAATTGATTTTTATGAACATATTGATCACTTTTCAGGTGATTATTAAGGGAGGGAAGATTATGTAACATCTTCTTCCGAGTTGAGATAATGAAGCCAATTTCAAACTTCATTAAGACTATTCATACAACCAACTATCATCAGGGAATGAAAAAGAGTTCGAAGAAAAAATATAAGAAAAGATGTAGGGTTAAATTGAGAAGGAGAACAAAAAACGGAAAAAATAGGAAAAAAAAGATGAGATAATAACAATTGATTTAGAATAAAAAAAAGAGGAAGAATGATGATACTAATCATTTATGTATGATAGTTAATGTTGAATTTGTGGTTGATGAAGTTAAAGTTGATAGAAGAAAAAGAAGATTAAATTCTATTTTCTCAGGTTGTTGTTATTGTAGATTCTTTTTACCTTGACAAGCCTTTGAACAAACATTCGCCCCTTAAATACATTGACATTTGAAAGGCTTCAGGTAGAGTGATTGTTTTATCTTTTTTATCCCGATGTATTATCCATAAATTTAAAGAGAAATTGTCAACATTTTCTGTCTCGTTTCTTTTACTTTGATTACATTTCGTTCCAATTGGTTTTCTGGTTCTCGTTCACTTTTCCCATGGAAAATAAATAATAGCTAATGATTAGTTTTCTTCAACCTATTCATATGAACCTAGAGACAAAATAATAAGATAATTATCATTAGTTATGATGATGATAATGATGACAATGAAATGTTTTTACTATAAGTAGGTAGTATTGCAGATATTGTTTCAATTTTATTTTGTAATACATGCAATTAATGCAATATATTAATATAATTATGGTGACGATAATGGTTTAAGTAAAGACAAAGTAACTCACATTGTCCATTATCATGGTAAAGATTTATATTAATGAGAGTCACTGAATTAGGAGATTATTATGATGATGGAATATTATTTTGAGTCCTAATATGATTCCAATAGGTGAAAGAAGAGGAAAGAAATTTGTACACATGATTAAACATTTTGACTCTAATTAACAGCACAATTCAGTAGACAAAAGTGGTGGGTAGTTGGTGTTGAGTTTTAGTCTGTTTGTTTACTTACCTGTTCAAGCAAATACACACAAATAACATGGAAACCAAAAAGGTGAGAGAAAAAAAAATGTAGACTTAATTTAATCAAATTAACCTTTGACGATGTAACCATAACCTCACAAAGAAAATCCTTCTGCTTCTTTGATTAATATTTTCTTCTAACAGAAAAATAACATTTTCAAATACCAATCACAATTTTCACCGATGATCATCAAAAAGCATAAGATTAAACCAAAATGTCGACCATTTTTTTTTACCAAACAAGAAGATAAATTAAAAGCAAAGAGTTAATCTAAACAAAATGGAGGGAAGACAAAAAAAACAAAGGATTAAATAAAAATCTATTTGTAAATGAGATTATGAGAAAAGAATAATAATTCAGAGATTGAGTGATTATTTTCAAATGATCAATTGTAATTAAAGAACATGATTTACACCTTCGTGACCATTTAATATTATTAACCGGCGAAAAGTAATGGTGTTGATTAGTGAACGTTAATCACAATCAAAATTAAATACATTTATTAATAGAATACAAAAATTGTGTCTCTACTTACAAGGTTTTAGTCGGTGAAGTGAAAAAAATGGTTACATATTCATGGTTGGGTAATCATATACAATCACAATTTGATTTAACAATCAATCACAAGACAGAAATTAACTTCATCGATAATTAGAGAGATGAATTTGTTAAAAAAGTAATTTACTTTTGATTAGAAATTAATTTAATTAAAGAGAACAAAAAAATACATTCATCATAATAAGAGAAATAGAAAAACAATTTACCGGGAAAATTTTTCTTCTTTTGTGGTAACGAAAATGTAGACACAGAAAAAGACAGAGACTCTTTTGTTTTCTATTCTTTTGTAATCAATCAACTGTATTGAGCTTTAATTATTTATCTTCTTAATTGTTATCATTCTGTTCAACGTTTAGCCACATAATTTTACTTGGATTGGTTTTACTAAATTCATTCCATTTAATTGTGACTAATTATCTTTCCATTTATTAATTTTTCTTTCTATTCTCTTGATCATTTTCTTAACGTTGGTTCACCATTGTCTTGGTTTCTACTCTCTTATTACTCTTATATTATCTACTATTAACATCAACTATATCATCAATATATTTTATCATCATCATCATCATTTTAACATGATGATGTACTTTTGGTTCTCCTTCTGTTGCTGATTCCATTGGAACTATTATTATTATTATCATCATCTTGATCATTGTTTCATTGGTTTGGGTTGATCACCATCATCACCATGATCTCCATCCTCTCGTGATGATCATTATCCATTAATAAATAATGATAAACAATAATATGTGTACATCATTATTATCTTGATTCGCCATTTTGTCTCTCTCTCTGTCTCTCTGTATTTCTCATTGAAATCAGGGATGAAAATAATGTCCGCCGGATGAACACTGCTGTTAAATTAAATGAAGCCATTGTGGACAAAAGTCATTCAGCGAAGCTCATTTTCATCAATCTACCAGGACTGCCACGAGATATTGCCCATGGAAAGAGTTCATCGTCTGAATCAGCTCATCATTATATGGAATTTTTGGAAGCTTTGACCGAGGGATTGGACAAGTTGTTCTTGTTCGTGGTGGCGGTCGTGAAGTTATCACCATTTACTCTTAACCCACCAAGAAAGAATTATTATTATTATTACAATTATAAATTAACTAATTAATGAATTACATGGAGAGACAAGAAAGTAAATCAGCTATGAAAAAAGAGGCAAATGTGGAGAGAAAAGATTCTGATAGGCAAGAATTAACCAGGAAAACAAATGGTTATACAAAAGGGAATCAAATGGATCCAATTAAGGTGTTTGAAAGAGTAAAGGTAAAATAGGAAAATGGCGACGAAACTGGTGAAGTGACCATTTCTTTTTGTTTTATGGATCTTCATCTATGGTTAATAGATTCTCGTAGTGTTACACATGCCGGTTCCAATTATGAATCTTCGATTAAATTGAGAGCTCATCATTTTATTGTTCGTTATATATTATTATTGTTATATCCGATTCTCTTCCTATTCTCTCTTTCATTGTATCTCTTGACCGCTCTTTCTGTCTTCATCTTCCGTTTTTAAATTAATTTCTAGTCAATTTCTATCTATCTTATTGGTCACCTTTTCTCTTCACTCACACTCATCCATTTCATCATTATCATCAACACCCTCATCATCATCTATAACTCATACTCAATGGTCAACGACAGTAAAACTAATTTGGATTAAACCATCAACAACAAAGCGAAAAAACTTATCATCAAATTTGACTAGTGAATCCATCATCATCCCGTAGTTTATACAATTAATATTTACCTGATCTTAATGAGAGATGAAGGGGAAAACTTCACCAAATCTCATCAATAAATTTGCAAATCTCACCAAAAACAAAAACAAACCCAAACCAAAGGAATCATCTTTGCGAAACCAAAACATGTTTCAAATTGAACTCATATTGAATTCACCCAAAACTCATTGAAAATCACCTTTACCTCCACAACCAACACACCAACAACCTCTTTTAAATCAATCAATCAACGCATTTTTTGGCTTCTCATGATTCAAAATACGCTCAAATCAAAAAGAAAAAAGAAAACAATTAAATGCCATTTCGCTCGTTCCTCTATTTCTAATACAAAAATATGAACGATTGAAGATATTAAACTATGTGACAAAAAAGAGTTAAAGAGAGAGAGAGAGAGAGAAAAAAAAACCAAATTAATATAACAAAATCAAAACAATGATTAGTTGATCAAAAAAATTTGTTGCACAATTAAAGTTAAAATAGTTGAAAATTAACTTTGGTTTCGAGTTTTTTTTTCGTTCCAACGGTTAATTCCCGTTAAAAGTTGAATGATTTTCAAATGATTAAAAGAGGAAAATTTAATCAAAAAAATTGGAAAATAAAAAATGCAAGAGTCTTTAATTGAGATAGTAAAATAATGTAGATTTTATAATTAATCTCATCTTATAATTAGATATCACCTTTAGGATATGATTATACAATTGTGAGGGATTTTTAGTCGGGTAGATGTTGATTTAGGTGTTTAGATGAAGTTATTGATTTAGTAAATTCTGTTTCCGTGTTTCTCTTGATCTTAAATTATTCTTGTTCCTTCATCTCTTTGTCCAAATAGTTTAATTAATTTAATCTTTTTTCAAAAGATTTGAAACACTTGGACATTTAGGAATATTTAGAGTTTGATGTATTCGATCGATCATTTTTTCCTTGAACTTTTGTTGAACGACTAGAGAGGTTGTTATTATGTTGCCCAAAAAGATGACAGAGAATATGAAACAGGAAACAGCTACTTGCCATTCGGTGCAAAGTTGATGTTTACTCAGATTGTACAAGGTATAAGCATTGTAGAATTGAAATGCATAACCCAAGTAAAGAAAGGGTATCAGGAAACCTAAACCTCTCCACATCCACGAATGAAACCCTTGGATAGTAATGTCCATCTCGTATCGCTCACCAAGAGCTCTTAAACGATATAAACAATTATGTTGATAATAAAATTGTAGAAATTGAAGGAAACTGGTATAAACAATGTAGTAAAGAAATTGTTTCCGGAAAAGATCGTACATTAATCCGTCCGGCCAGACGATTATGATTCCTGCTTTAATTCCAGTGATGAATTGAAGTGCTCTCCACCAACCCTTGATTCGTGATCCGTTTACAATTAAAATACTTTCTCGAATGGTTAACGTACAATGATACCAGACAAGTAAGAAATGAAGACATGCATCAATTACTCTGGAAATTTAGGTAAACAGAAAATTACATATGACAAATTAGAATAATCATAGAATTTTTTGAGAAAAAAAAGTGCATAAATGAAGAGATTTCAATGATTTTCTCTTTGCTGAACAGAACTTGTGACACACACTCATGAAATATTAATAGATTTTCCATTGAAAGTGAGTGACATGATGAGAAAAGAATGATGAGCTTCTCAAAGAGATAAAATATCGATGACGATTCTCATTACTGAGAGCACAAGTACACTAATTAAAAGTGTAGAAATTGTTGTAATGATTAACATACCTGTAACTGAACAACACATCCAAAAGGGCAACAACAAGAATCAACGCATTGACTACCAGTTTAAACTTTTCATACTGTTCCTTATACTGAAATTTTTCTTCCTTATCTACCAGAGTGGCATTAATTCCACCGAGAATAACTTTTAAATATAAGCTATTATTTGTTGGTAGAAGTTCTTTAGCTTCACTTATACGTTGTCTATTAGTTTTAACTCGCTCTTTGATCTCTGTGGTTAAATTAGAGTCTTCTTCAGTGATTCGTTTGATCCTAAGAGAAACAAAGATAACAAATCATCAATTATAAAGAAAAATTACACACACGAACCATAAGATTAAACTATTAAATTATTACCCTTTCAAAGATTGTTCAATTTGGCTTGTCCGATATTCCTGATGATGAAGCTCCTTAAAACAACGGGCTTCAATTTTCCGACATTCGGAATAAGCATGATGATAATCTTTAACTGTTTGCTATCGTTTAAAACCATCCAAAGCAATGAAAAAAGTATAAGGAGAAGCGAATCCAATTAACATAAGATGAAAATAGAAATGAAAATAATTAATTAACAATAGATGAAGTTGAATAGGTAAAAAAGTGACGATGATCATGAGGAAAAAAAGAAAGATAGAAAAATGTTTTACCTCTAATGATGTCAACTCAGATTCTAAACCATCAAGTTCACCAATTAAAACTTTCAAATTGTCTGAATCCATTGGATGACAATGGTTAATTCGAAGGAAAAAGAGGTTAACGTTTTTAAATCACAATTAAAAGATTAATTACAACATAGAAAAACAAGAGAACAAAATAAAAAATAATTTCTTCTCATTCCTCAGCTGAGAGTTGATCAAATGTCTTTCCATTGGAATCGATGTTAACCATCGATACCCGAAAATGGAGAAAAAAGTTCGCAATTAGAAGACGAACCCTAACCCAGAACAAATTCTTTTCCAACTTTTTCTGTTTCCGTTTCCTAATCATCACTTTGAGTTTTCTTTAAAACCATTTGATTTTTATTGTGGTTACTTAATTGTCTCAGTTATTGGCAGTGTTTAATTTCAAATCTCTTTTTCTTCAAATTAATCATGCGAGCTAAGGTACGTTTTAATTAATCTATTTCGTTTTAGTGTTTTATCAGTTTAATAGTGTTTTTAATCTGATTTTATATTGTGTCTTGGTGATACTAATCTTTTATTTCTTTCTTTTCTCTTCCTTCCTCTTATTTCTTTCTTTTCTTTATGGTCATTGGCTTTTTTTTTGGTGATTCTCCATTTTGTCTACCCTCTGTCTATGTTTAATTGTTTTATCTCCATGCTTTCGATTATCTGGTCTAATCTTACTGTCTGGTTTCGGTTTTGATGTTAATCGTATCTCTTGGGATTCTATTGATCATGGTTCACATGCTTGATGTCTTTGTTCTCCATTTTTCATCTTTGGTTTGTTTTATGTTATTTACTCATTTGCTCGTGAATTTATTTTCTCCTTGATCTTGGTTGGAATCTGCTGTTACCTGTCCCATTGTAGTGGCGTAAAAAACGTATGCGAAGGCTAAAGCGTAAACGAAGGAAGATGCGAGAACGTTCCAAATAAACGGTGGACTTTGGGGGATACAATAATTTCATCTTAGTTAACCAACCAAATTAACTAAAGAAAGCTTGTATTTCCCCAATGTGTCTCTTCTCAGACGCCCTCGTAATTAATATGAAACAAATAAATCACTCTTTTGATCTTTGTTTGAATAAAAAAACTTATTTAAATTTATTTATATGTGTTTGTTACATGATATTCATTTTTCCTCGTGAATATAAACCTATTGAGAAACCTTATTCATGACTGAATGATTTATCTCTTACAATGAAATATGAATTGTAAAGAAAAGCACAACCTCCGATGATTAAGACAATACAATTTGTGTAAAGTGAGTATTGAAGACTAACCACCGATCCTTCAGTTATTGATGCGAAGGTGTTACTTGCTTTAATTGTATCCGAAATCTGAGAAAAGGAAAAGGAAACAAAAGGAAATGAGAACATTGCGTAATTGGAGAGAAAAGGGAAATGAGATTTTCTTACTTTGCCAATAATGAAAGGACTAGTTGCATCTCCAAAAAGGTGAGAGATTAGAATTTGAATTGCCGAAGCAAAAGCCCGACGGTGCGGGACAATAATGTAGAGTAACATGTCGGAAACCAAAGTCCAATTGATGCATAAAAGTGTCACCCCGATAGCGATGCTGAGCCATGAAAGTACAGGAACAACTGTGGCTAATGCGAGAGCAGCAAAGATGAATGGGGTCGAAAGAAAGACACTTATGGAGCAGAGAAGAGGATCCGCCCGAGGGGTTCGTTTACGAAGAAGTCCAGCTCCATAAGTTCCAATCAAGATGCCGAAGATACCAGCGACTGAAGTTATGGCTCCGAAAATAAGAGATATCCTGTGAAAAGGAAACAAGAAATTGGAGAAAAGCATTGAATTAATTAAGCTTTCTAAAAATAGAATAAAAATAATGAAGGAAGGTCAAAGTTTGATTTGTTGTTTGATGAAGGAAATTGAAAGTACCCGTCATGGTCTTTTCCATCGCGAAGTTTGTAAACATTTTCCATGAAATGAGGAGCCCACCATGAGAGTGATCCTGTGGTGAAACAAACGCAAGTAAATCCAATCGTCGACCAAATGTAAGAGGGAACTTTAGTTAAATAAATTAAATCTTCTTTAACATTTGATTTTTCCATCAGCTCAACACCATCAGCCTCGCCTCTTGGCGGTTCTTCAAGGAAAAGCATCAATAAAACAACAGATAAGACACCTAAGAGAGGAGTCAATCGAAGTGCATATTTCCAATCTCCGAATGATCTTGAAAGTAAATCAGCACAAATATAACCAAAACCAGATCCAACGGGAATAGCAAAAAAGAAAGCACCGAGCATCTGAGTTCTCATGGTGCCAATAAAATAATCACCAATTATTGTTGGTGCAATAGTTGAATAAGAAGCCTCTCCAGTTCCAACCATAGCTCTCATGAAAAGGAACCAGCCCCAAGCATTGGCAGGAATAATTGACCCAAGGTAAGTGGTCATGGACCAAAAAAGGATCCCAGCGGCCATTAGATATTTTCTTGAATATCGATCACCCAGATAACCAAAAATTGGAGCCATAATCATATAACTAACAATAAAGACAGTTTGTAATATACCACCTTCGGCATCAGTAAGATGATAATAATCTTCAATATCACTTAAAACACCAGCAACTGTAAATCGATCCATATAGTTGATTAAATTGATGAAACAAAGTATTCCAACAGCGATGAACTTTTTCTTATCTCCCATGATTATTATATGGAACGATGATTATATCAAACAAACAAACAAACAAACGAAAAATAAATAGAAAGTAATAGTGAGAGTAACAGTTATTTATACAGAAAAGGAAAGTGACGAATGTCTAATTGGGATTAATTAGTTAATCAAAACAATTGAAAGAAATGAAGAATAAAAAATTCAATGTTAACAGTAAATACACTAAATTTATACTATCTCTCAAAACTTGAGAGATTAATCAAAAGATGACAACACATCGTAAATCTTAATCAATCTTGGATGATCTACTTTAACCAGTAATCACCGTAGGATAATCAGTTACCCATTAATTTACACCACTAATTGAAACTCAAAGTAATAAAATCATAATTAATCGACAATCAAGAGACAATCAAAACAATTTCATCTGATGTTTTTTTCACCTTATCGACCAATAGATGTCACTCTAAGCGTAGAAGCGGTAAAATTAATTTTCTTTCAAAATCTAAATTGTGACAATTAAAACTGATTGTTGAGATTATTTAGTAAATTTTACTTGATAATAATCTATTTAAATATGCCCAATGGAAATAAAGTTTATCGGTTAAGTGAAAGATGAATTTAGAAATAAAAATGTAATCAAACAACAATTTAGAAATTGTTATTATTTAATGACGTTAATTGTTGTTGTTAATTGAGAACAATAGGTTTAAATGATTTATCAATTATTCTGAAAATATGATTTGATTACTAGGTAAATTGTGACTTTCAACTTGACTTTGTGTTTCAATGTCCAAATCGAAACAATTGTTAAATAATGTTAACAATTTGATTGGTGATTAGTGTTAATCTAATTGGCAATGTTTTAAGATTATCAATGATTGATTGTCGATGGGGTTATGAGACAATTGGTCTCAATCTCAATGGTTGAAAACGAATAACAAAGGAAAACAATTAGTCTTTTGATTTGATTTAATTCATTTTACCAGAACCTTAGCTGGAAATCATCATAGAAGTTTGAAAATATTCAAATTCAATACTGAACAAAATGGTCAAGCTGGACAGTAACTTCCTTCTTGGCGGAATTTTGCTAATTTTTTCAATCTCCATTCAGGTAAATTATGTCCGAATTGATTCTGTTTCATAAGATACTAACTATTGCTATTATTTTGATTAGGTGACGAATGGAACACCAAGTTTTACCATAGATTATGAGAATGACCGATTCCTTATGGATGGATTACCATTCCGATATGTTGGAGGTGAGATTCATTATTTCCGAGTTCCCCATGAATATTGGTTCGATAGATTATATAAAATGAAAGGAGCAGGAATCAATGTCTTACAAACGTAAGTAAATATACAGTTTGCTTCTGATTGCATATTGAAGTTGATTGTTCGATACAATTAATCACAACATTAGATACGTTGAATGGTCAGGACATGAAACTCATGAAGGAAAATACAATTTCGATGGAGATTACAATCTAACCAAATGGCTCGAAGAAGCACAAAATACTGGATTATATGTTCTACTTAGAGTTGGACCTTACATTTGTTCTGAACGAGATATGGTAAGTTTCAATTTCTAATTAAACTAACAAATCTAATTGCTCTGAAGAAGTAAAAAATTGTTATTTCAAACGCGAAACTTATTCAGCTATTTGAATTTGAATAATGTACGATAAAAATTTTATTCTCATCTGAATCGTTAAAAGGGCGGATTACCATGGTGGTTAATGAAATACGATCTACAATTACGTCGGAATAACGATATCTACATGAAATATGTGAATCAATGGTTTTCCGTTTTACTCCCAATGATTAAGCCTTTTCTTTATCAAAACGGTGGACCAGTGATCATGATTCAGATTGAAAATGAGTACGGTTATTATAGTGCTTGCGATCACAATTATATGGCCGCTCTTAGGGACATTGTCAAGTCTCATTTGGGAGATGAAATTGTTTTATACACAACCGATAATCCTGGTCTATTATCTTGTGGTTTGGTTGACGATGTTTTCGGTACAATCGATTTTGGTACTAATACCAAACCCGAAGATCAGTTTGCAGTCCTTCGTTCTCATCGTGCTAATGGTCCTTTGGTTAACTCGGAATTTTGGATCGGTAACATTGATACTTGGGGAACTCAACACTTAACTAAACCATCGCAAGAAGTTGCAACTTGGTTGGAAGCACAATTGTCTTATGAGAAGAACATGTCTCTTAGTATGTGAGTAATTAACCATTGATAGCTGGTAAATTAACTTTACGAGATGAAAATAGAAATAAAAAGCTCAAAGATTACGATCAAGGGTTAATTGTTGCTATTATCTTACAGCAATTAATTTCTATCCGATTTTATCTTCAAATTGATTAGCCTTATGATTGTTTAACCAACCCTCAAGTATGAAACTTTAGATCCATTAGCAAAGTAAATACACATTGATAAGTTGAGCAATAATGATAATTGAATTAAATTTAATTGTTCAGGTACATGTTCCATGGAGGTACATCTTTCGGCTTCCAAAGTGGTGCTAATAACGGAGGCTACTTGCCCAGGCCAACAACTTACGATGTTGATGCTTTACTCGACGAGGCCGGTGATCCAAATGAAAAATATTTCGTCGTTAAAGATATTATATCAAAGGTAAAGAAAGAAATTAATTGTTGTTTATGGTTGGTTGTCAATTTTCAATTGTTTCTTTTTTTCTCAGTATTTCCCAGTGGCAAGTTTCAGCCCTAAACCAAGTCCAAAAATGGCCATCGGCCCGATCGATGCTAAATTAGAGTTTGATTTTACTTCACTTTACCAACAATCATTTTGGAAACAATCAAAATCAGATTCACCTCAACCCTTTGAGTATCTTGACTCGAGAAATGGTTTAATACTTTATTCAACAACAATTAACTTTAAACCAACTTCACCATCAATGTTAGTGATTAAAGAACTGCGAGATCGAGCTTATGTTTACGTTGATAAAGTAAGTTGACATTTTGATTTAATTTTGGAAATAATTTAATTGATATTCTATCAGAAATATCAAGGTACCATTAGCAGGCAAGAAAAAGCTCTGACGATTCCAATTAGAGCTTCGAAAGGAAGTCAATTAGATTTGATTGTTGAAAATCAAGGGAGAATCTATTTTGGAGATGAGATAAGTCAACATAAGGTAAATCTAAATTGTTTAAATTTATTCGATTGGTTAAATTGTTAGTAATTAGAACAATTGAATTTGTTTTATTTATAAGGGGATTTTCGGAAGTGTTTCTCTTGGTTCGAAAACTCTTACAGGTTGGACGCATTATTATATCGACGATTGGGAAGATTTCACTTCATTATTGACTTTTAACTCTAGTGACAAGGCTACAGTCTCGACGAAAATAGTTTACATCCAGCGGTGTTAAAGGCCGAGTTTACATTATCTCAGAACAGTATAATTTACGATACGTATTTTAATCCAACGGGATTGTCCAAAGGTTTCGCTTATCTTAATGGTAGAGGACTTGGACGATATTGGCCAACAAACGGACCACAGGTCACTCTTTTTACACCAGGAGTTTGGATGAAACCTTATCCTCTAGTTAATCAATTGATTATCGTTGAATTGGAAGATCCTAAGTGTTTAACTGTTGATAAAATTTGTTCGATACAATTTGATGATCATCCTACATTAGATGAAGAAACACCAACAAATTGGTAATAAATCGATCATTACAATTTTCTGATTGTTATGGACATTGAAGGATACGATAGTAATTTGAAGGCCTTTTTAATAGATAAAATATCTTAATAATAAAAATAATTATTCATGTTTGAGGCCTAAATGGTAAACTAATCAACACTGTTGATTGGAACGGAAGCAGAAATTGTAACGATTGAATCTTTTGAACTTTTTTGATTTTCGATTCTGATTAAAATTCTTGCCCAATTTAACCAAATACGACCAACTCTTTTATTCCATAGGAAAGCAAAGAATAACAATAATCCTTGATTAGTATTGATAAAGACGAACAAGTATTTGGCCAATTGATGGACAGTCGATTTTGGCGGAGTCATTGGAATGAGAAGAATAGTTAGCCAAGAGATACTAAGAGCAGTTGCTATTCGACTAAATACCGATAATTGTGTGGGTATTGATCTAATTGATAATCGATTGATACTTTGGACTGAAACTGCAACACTCGCATTCAATGTTCTTTTTATCCTCATGTAACTTGCCAAATAGAAAATAGAATTCAATGAGTTACTGAGAGAAATTGGAACAGCAAAATAAATCAATATTCCAATCGAACTACGAATCCAACAAACACCTTGGAATGGACCAAAATGAGGAGCGAAATCATTTGAGATAAATTCATTAATCAACGAAACAGCAACAACAATCAAGACCATCAAATGAGCCATGATGAAAGAAGTGAATCTGCTTCCGTATTTTGAATTATCCTCACAATGAATTGAATCACATGTAACAAATGTACGAAATATGTGAAAACCAATGATACTATAATTAAGCGAGAGAAAGAGATCAATCAGCCAAATAATCAAACTATCAAAGAGACATCTCAACATTTACCTTGACCAACTAAAATTGAGTAATATAAAGTAATGCATGACAATTGCCGCTAACCAACAATTAGTCCAATAAGCTCCCGTTAGAAAATGTAATTGTAATATCAGAATAGTCAGAACCAAATTTATTGTATTGAAACCTGGAAGAGTCGATGATATATCAGGAACCATACTAAATGTGACCAGAATCAGCACTAAAAATACACAAGAGACAATTAGACAAACACCTACAATCTTGTTTTCCGTTTGATTGCCGACGCAGAAAAAGTGTGAAGGCTCACAAATCTTCACTGACGAATTAAAGTCAACTTCGAACTTATCAGTTACTCCATAAAGTGATTTTATGTATGCACCATTATCGATAAACTCGTAAGAACCAGCGGGTAACTTGAAAGTCTCACAGAAAAGTCCAGTTACTTTCTCACAGAGAATCGCAAATGTGACTACTTTAAGAAGATCATTGTGTACTAGAACACTCGCTATGTAAGAACCTTTTGGATAAATTCGGCCATTCTCATTGTTTAACAATTTATTAGAATTTATAAACGAAAAATTTAATCCCCAATGAGGTATTTTTCGCACCGATGAGCCTTCACAAAATGTTGAAACATAACTAGTTAGATAACTAGCAGCAAAGTCCGGTTGGAAAACACATCCATCAATTTGAAATGTTTGACGTTCCGTTAGGCAAATTCGCATCTTTTCTGCTAACTGCTCAGCAGAAATGTCCATTTCAATGTCTTCGAATAGTTCAACGTCAAATTTAGCGTGAAAATTATCCAAAAGAGTCATATCTTCAACACCTATACGCTCAATGGAAATGTTTAAAACTGAAGCTAATTGCATTTCAAATTCTTTACGTGTATTCTTGTTTCGAGTAAGCTTTAGTCCATTAATTATGTTAACGAATATTTTGATCGACCATTTTTCGGCTTGGATATCAATAAACTCTTTGCGAGCATAGAAACTTTCAAATGCTTCACTTACTTTACATTTTCGATAAGGCATATCACCGATTGTAGATCGACAATAAATACGACGACATTTACCTGCCACTTTATCGTACACATGAAATTCACCACACTTTTTTGGCTCAAAGTACCAGGTTTTTTCAGGGCGATCATTGAATGCGTAATTTATTAGTGTTGCTTTCGAAGGAATCAAAAGTGAACTTTCAGTCGGATTCGAAGAGGAGTTAATTCCAAAAATTGTTGCTATAATCAAGAAAATATTAACAAAACAATAAATGAGAAACATAACTGAGAACAATATAAATCCCAACTCGTTCTAGTTATTTGAACCGTCAATTTCTATGTGATGTAAAAATCACACTATTTTATTCAAACGAAAAACATACGTCCTTGAAGTCGAAAAATCATCAAGGAAATCTGAACTCAATTATGCAAAGTAAACACAATTCTAATTGTATTTATCAATAATTGATCCATCATTTTAGTTGATAAAATGTTCCGAAACCAAGAGGCGAAAGATTGAGTCCAAATTTCACAGTGTGAACATACAGCTTTTAAGAGGAGAAAGTGAATCCACCAATTACCACTTCTATCACCAAGAAGCGTTCATTAATCTGATTGGAACGAGGGCCTGAGATTGCTTGGGGACAACTCGATTGGGACAGTAAGGTTAGCTGATCATTGTAAAACTGTATATTCAATTAGCGTTTATCTTTAGTTCATTAGTTGCTCAAATTTGCATAATTACGTCAGTGATGTGGGTCATAGCCCCATGGTGATTTGATTGGGCAATATAGCGAAGAGTGATGATTTACGATTTATGATTTGACTGATAACCCTTTCGTAGTTTTATTCCTGCTTAGTTAACGACCACACTCACCCAGATAGTATGACAACGGTTAAAGTCTCAATTGTCGATGAATTTGTTTGATGTTTTTCATTCCCCTTTGAAGTAAGCCATAAACAGTATCACAATCTATATCTCCCACCGTGTGACTTTTGGGTATGTCACTTGTTGAGCATTCAACACACTCATTGGCTCATATTAGTTTAATTTGCTCTTATTTAAGCTTAATTATTAACAATTTAATGGACCGTGGTAAAAGACAAAAAGACGAAAAGAGGCAAAAAAGAGCAAAAAAGGTCCAAAACTCTCCACCGTCAGTGGAATTGATGTGAAAGAGTCTCAGAACATTTTATTCTGAATTTTTGACGAAATATTGACAATCATAACACTCAAACAAAACAATAATCACCAAAATTCCAAAATAATTCAATTTTTCTGATTTTTGATGCGCGAAGTTTGAAAGTCAATTTATGAATACTTTTTTTTATTAATTTTTAACTAAAAATCTAATTTTGCATCGACAATTTGACCACATATACTGACCTGAGTTCATCTGCAAATCGTAAAAATTAAATGTAAGTAAAAAGAATTGAATTAAAAAAGTGTTTTTGTCTTTAAGCTCTTTTTTGCTTCTTTTTGCCTTTTACTACGGTCCCAATTTAATCGTTGGTCCGTAGAATGACCAATATACTAATCATTAATTTAAGTTGATTAGTCTCTGAGATATGACCCTTAATATTTGGTCGATTCCCAACAATTAAGTTAATCATTTTTTCTTAATTACTTTCATCTCTTTCTTCCTATGTAAACCATTATTATTATTATTATTATTACCATTATTACCTATAATTATTAAGATGATAAACCAACTAATGTGCATTACTGTCCTTTAGTTGACCGACAAAGGGTAAACCAAGTTTTACTATTCTCTTTAATGTTTTCTTTCGTTCCCAAACTGTCACTCATGTTATTCTCTTTCCTCTTATCTTCTTTCTCTTCATCTTCTCTCATCTCTCTCACGTACATACAACAACAGTATTTAAACCAAACTCAAATGATTGATTTGATTTAATTAAATTTTCTTTGTGTCTTTTTCTCTCTTTCTTTCAAATAAAAATTATCAACAATTTGTTGTGTTTGTGGGGATTTTTCGTGTCTCTCTCAATCAACGAACAACTGAATCAGCATATTTATACTATTAAAAATAATAATTTTCATTTTCCTTGATCAACAAGTTTTAACAATTAAAAAGCACAAACTCAATTTTCACGTCTGTATAAGCCGTCCTTCAGGCTAAAAATGTTAAAAATTGATCAGTTCATCGTTCATTGAAACAAGAAGGAAAGATAAAGTATCCTGAATATGGTCGTGATCATTTTCCTGGAACAAATTATTATCCTGGAGTATATTCAACAAATTGTCACTAGTATCCAGAGGTGGTGTATCCTGAGCACAATCAATAACATGATCACATAGGTGAGAAAGAGGAGATGGACTTGGAGTCGGTTAAGAGTGTTATTTTGAGGTACAATAGAGGCAGGTGCTTGAGAGAGAACAAAATTATTGACCCCAGATCATTATTGATCCGATTAGTCCAAAATTGAAGTTTCTCTGGGTCATGTGAAAACTCAAAACGTAGACCAATTTGAAGAAAAAATTGAAGTTTGAGTTGATCTAAAAGTAACTTATTCATTTTAGAGAAGAAAGGGTAAAAGATAGAGACGAAAGTATAAAGGTAAATGTAAAAAGAAAACAAAAAGTAAACTGTAGACAAAAAGAGCAGAAAGTGAACTGACAGCAGAGTGAAGAATAAACAGGTTAACCGAGAACAAAGTCAACGTTATCATTAGAGGTGGTACGTTGAAACTAAAGTATACGAGAGAACAAATATCAAGTTTACATCCTTATCACGCATGCTCTTTAGGGTTATAATCTATTACAGTGTGAAGGCCTAGTTACCTTCATTTAACCTTTAGGTTTCACTTTTAAAAATTTTTTTTCATGTTGTTGTTGTTGGGATGATATCCCCTTAACTAACTGTTTTAAAAATACATTTTCCTTTTTGTAACAGGTTCGATTTCGAAAGATGAACAATTCGATGAACAATTTAACTTTTATTAGAGTTTAAGAACAAAACTTTATAACTATTTAAGTAACTGAATAACTTTTAATGTTTTACTTGGTTTGTTGATTACAATTTGTTAATTATGAAAGAATAGGGAAAGAAAGAAAGAGAGAGAGAGAAAGAGAGAGAGAAAGAGAAAGAGAAAGAGAAAAGTAAACTTCTTCACTGAAGTTATCCTTTTCTATTCAAGATGAAAAAACTTAATGAATATTTTTCATTTTAGTCAATTTCTTTTATATTAAATGGAGAAAGAGGAGAAAGAGATAGAAAAGAAAGAGAAGGAGAAAGAGAGATGATGAGATTATCTCATCATCATCAATTTAAAATTAATTGTTTCCTCAAAAAAACCTTAAAGTTGGAAAAACAACTAATTATTACCTTTTTCTGGTAATAAACGATAAATTTTATTACACTTTTCATCATCATCATCATTATCTTCATCTTCATCTTCATCTTCATCTTCATCCTCATCCTCATCTTTATTTAGCATGTTGGGTTGCATCCATTTGGTTGCCAACATTTCCCCGGTGTTATGGTGACCAGTCCATTGGTCAAAGCCAATTTGTTCGATGTTTTCTGTGGACGTGGACCTTGTACCGTCTTACCGTCATAATTTCATTGCATTCCTTATCTGGGCATTGAACTAGTAACTTGCGAAATTTATTCATTGAAACGGGACCGGTATGTCTTAGATGGCTGCGATTGAAGGGTAACCCACATCTTGCGGGACACTCTAAGTTATTTCGACTCTGGTAATCTAAAAGGCAAGAGCTACAAAACATAACTTTACAACTAGTGTTTTCCTTATGTACACATGGGTTTTCAGCTAAATTTTGACAAATGATGCACTCGTAATCTCTGATTACATTGGTGTCAAAAAATAGGTAAGAGGTTAACTTAGAAGGGTTTACAGGGCGTTGATAACGAGACCAGTAGATATCAGATGTACTTTTACACTTATTAGATCAAACTTAATTTCACAATTCGTCATAGGTAAACACAAGATTTCAGATCACAATACTTGAAGTCAACTTACTAATTAGATTAAAGTTTCCCATTAGCAGTCGGGCCGAGTTGTTAACTGATTGTATTTGGTTGAGTATAATTTATATTTATACCTTCAAAGGATCATCAACTCAAACTAACATTTGATTAGAGTAAAATTTCCCATCAAAGTCAGTGAGAGTGATTCACTTTTAAGTGTGTTTGATACCAAATAAGGATTTCAAATTATAACTCGTGATTAGAATAAACCCTTCCCATCACAGAGTTAAGTTAAAGTTATAGACTTGGAGTATGAGTATTAACACGTTACCAAATATGCTTGTGACTAGAGTTAAGTTTCCCGTCACAAGGTTATTCAAAAGTCAAGAGGTTTAAAGAGGAGGTGCAAATTGAGTGGTTGAATTGGCTTGCGATTAGAGTCAAACTTCCCATCACCAAGTCATTTAAGGTATTCAGTTATACCGAGTTAAAATTAAGAATTGAGATCAAAGTATTTCAAAATTCGTGAATTTAACGATTTCCAAATGGCGTTGATGTGATTTTGGCACAGTCGTAATTGTTTTTAACTTCTCTTTCTAAAGGTTATAATTAGAATAATAACGCAACAATTAAAGATATACTTATCTGGATATGGTGATGTTGAATAGGAGAGTATTTAGAGTCTTTTTTTAAACTTCTGTTGAAGGTTAAAGTGTCGATGATGAATTCGTCAATTTTCCACTTTTTTATAATCGGAATTGCAAAATTATAGTTATACATACAAAAGATAAAACCTCGTACGGATACATATCGGGACTGAAGGACTTCGTATAAAAAGTTTCAAGGTCATTGAGGTCATTTCACGATAAACCTATCTAGAGGTCATTTGAAGGTTTTTTTGAAAAGAAGAACAGAAAGTTATCCCATCACTGAAGTTTTGGTGTCAATATCAGTTCAAATAACGGAGAGCCATTAATTTGGATGAAATAAGCAGTGGTTTTGCAAATTGACATAAATCGTGGTACACCGCCAATGATTTTGAATTATTAATTGAAACTTGGACCATGGCTCAATTTTTTGCTCTTCTTTTCAAAAAAACCTTCAAATGACATCTAGATAGGTTTATCGTGAAATGACCTTAATGACCTTGAAACTTTTTATACGAAGTCCTTCAGTCCCGATATGTATCCGTACGAGGTTTGTTCTTTTTAAACTCATTGGTTCTTGACTTATGACTAAAAATATGAGTAAAATGAAGTTGAATAGCCCTGTATACATTTTTTCCATTCGAGTTTAATATGTACAATTTTTTAAATGAATATTAATTTGAATCTTTGAATTCTTAATAACCCGAATAGTCAAATTGATTGGATTGTGAATGTTTTTTTCAATTAAAAACGATTCATTTCCAACTGAGCTTTCCAGAATCTTATGGTCTGAACCATTAGTTTGATTTGACTAACTGGATCAACCACCATATTTCGTTCAATATTATCAAAATAACTTAATAACATATTGTTATCATCGACTGGAGCTTGATTACTGGACTACTTGAGTAGCATATTTTCATACGCTTGGCGCTCAATTTTCTCAATATTGTGAGGAGATAAATTTGATTAAGATGATTTCCTTTGCTCTTCGTTCGGTGTAGAAAGATTTAAAACAATATCTCGGCTGGTGGAAGGTGTATCGTCATGTAGAATAGGGTTCTCTCCTGTATCTGAACGCTCATGGGTGATGATGTATAAATTTATCAATTCGTTGAAAGTCAAACCTGAAAATATAAGTTGTTGCATAAACTCTATTTGTTGATTACTAAACCTCATCACTAAGTTCCAGATCAGCTAATTCGTCGTCCAGTATTAGTTCCAGAAACCAGTCTTCTGGTCCAGTTATTGATAAGTGGTGCAAAATCAGTAGATCAATTATTTCCTGTATGGCTCCTTGAATCTGGACTACTACCGCTGTTAACTCTCTTAGGTGTTTGCCTATGGACATTCGAGTTTTGAAACTTAGATCAAATTCAATACAGTTTATTTCGCCTTGAACCTAAAGCTGTCTATAGTCGTGATGGTACTTATGTTGACCTTAGCAAAAGATTTCGATAATTCTAGTAGCGATAATGATTCGTGAAACTCTTGACCTTCGATGAAAAGCTTTATTATGTCTAGTATAGTGATTGGTCAATACAGGGTTATAATCGGTGCAATAAATTGGCGAGTAATAATAGTTAAAAGGATGGTAAAGTACCGTGAAAAGAAAATACTCTCAAGAT